CGCTCCACTTCAGACCAATCTTCGGATTAGTTTTTTTTCTTTCTCTTTTATAAGTAGTGTCAGTTGTGTGCCCAAGCCCCAGTGGAGTATTTTCTGATGCTCACTCCCCCAGGAACAGAAGGAAGTCCCTGCTGGGCATCAGGCTGTGATGTTAGCCACTTCCTCTGAAACATTCGCTGTTTACATTCATTAGCATAACTGCCATCTCATATTCCCTCTTGACTGATAATTTTTTATTGTATTAGATTTATTCATTTTGTGTATAAGTGTTCTTCCTACATATATGTATGTGTACCACATGCATGCCTGGTCCCCATGTAGGTCAGAAGAGGAACTGGAGTTATGGATGGTTGTGAACCATCATGTGAGTGCTGGGAATTGAACCTGGGTCCTCTGAGAGCAAAACATGTTTTTAACCACTGAGTCATCGCTCTAGTCCTGACTGATAAGTAATTTGCAAGTATTTTTTAAAAATTATACTTTGGCCGGGCAGTGGTGGCGCACGCCTTCAATCCCAGCACTTGGGAGGCAAAGCCAGGCGGATCTCTGTGAGTTCAAGGCCAGCCTAAGCTACAGAGTGAGTTCCAGGAAAGGCGTAATACTTTGAGGGATTCTTGAGATCATGGAAACTTCTCGTTTGTTTGTTGGCTAATAGAGTCAGCTGCTGTTTTATGCTGTTAGATGGCTAAGACCAGCTACCCTCTGAGCTGTCTCCTCAGTCACATGATCACAGTCACATGATCCTCCTGTGGTGTGGAAGAGGACAGGTTTGAACAACCTCATGATAGGTGACAGTATAGAAATTAGAAAACAGCTGTATTGAGGCCTGGAAACAAAGACATCCAGATCTAAGAAAAGCAGCTTTCATAGGAAGCAAACTGGCGTTGGTTGGAAATGATATAGTTTAGTCCACACTTACCCAAAGTAGTCAGCTTGCCCCACAGGGCAACTCTCACTTTATTTGAGATGTGTGATATGTTGTCTCCTCCTAGGGGTGGCTGGAGGTCATGCGGTTTGAAAAGGGTAAAAGCTCCACTGTGCACCCAGCAAACGGATTAAGCTTGTCTTCATAAACAGACTTGAGCAGTTCCCTACAAGGGAAAGCACCCCTCTGCTGTGAAGGCCTGAGTCAGAGTGCCCCTCCCAAGCAGCATACTGTAGAGGGAATGGAGAGCAGGTGCAGAAGAAACAGGGTCATATCAGTGTAGGCATGTGACTCAGCAGAACCTGTATGGCCCCAAGCCTAGGGCAAGTTGTTTGAGGCCGAGTTTCCCTTCCACACAGAAGTTAGGTAACTCTTTGTCTGCTTATGAATCATGGGGACTGCCAAGCACCATACTGAAAGAGCTAATCCCTGGGCAGGTGATCCTGACCAACCATATAGGCAGCTGAAAAGTTTTGGCTGGAGCTTTGGGGATTGTGCTTCCTATAAGCATGTAGTTTGAAGTGAATCTCATCATCACCTCAGACTTCACTTCATGAAGTAACCAAAGGATGACTATGCAGTGGTCTTTGAGGTTCGTGAAGAATTCTCTTTGGCCCACGTGTTTTTTCAAGTGTTGTCTCATCAACTTCTAAGATCTTTTGGAAAAGGCCTGACCTTTATATTCATCCTCTTCATTCTGTAATGGATCACTCTCTCCAGATGTACTAGGATACCTTAATTTTCTAACTTAAGAATGATCACCTTAGCCAGGTATGGTGGCACACGCCAGCATTCAGGAGACAGAGGCAGATGGATCTCTGTGAGTCCAAGGCCAGCCTAGACTACACAGTGAGTTCCAGGACAGCCAGGGCCGCACAGAAAGGCCCTGTCTTAAACACCGGAAAAAAAAAAAAAGCAAAGAAGATTGATCACCTTGGGGCTGCAGAGATGCTCACCAATCCAAGTCTGGTGTCCAGCACCCATATTAGGTAGCTCACAGCCTCCTATGACAACACCTCCTAGAGATCGAGCTCTTCTGCTGGCCTCCATGGACACCCTCACAAATAAAAGTAAGTCTTAAAAAGAGCAATCATGATTACTATTCTCCCACATTTGCACCAGCCTTTCTTTCCCTCTCAAAAAAAAAAAAACATAGATCAAAACAAACAAACAGTAAGACAAGTAACCAAACAAAAAGCACCCCCAAAAATTGTGGCATCCATTTTGTGTTGGGCCTGCCCTGGAGTACAGTTGATATATCCAGTGACACCCTAGTGGAGAAAATTGATTTTCCATTTCCCAGCAAATATCAATTATAAAGAGCTTCTTGGTTAGGACTTTGCGTCCACTTCCCCTTCTCTGTGCTGAGGTTTAATCTGGTTTGAATTTGTGCAGGTCTGTGTGTACTGTCACAGTCTCTGTGAGTTCATATGCATATCAGCCCTGTTGTGACTAGAATACCCTTTCTTGAAGTCATCCACTTCCTCTAGCTCTTACAATCTTTCTGCCTCCTTTTCCACGTAGATCCCTGAGCCTTGAAGAGAGTGTGAGAGCCCACAGAGGCTATCTAGTGAGACTTTACACAGGTTCAGAGAATATGGGCTTGCTTTACCCAGCAGGGCTGCATAATGGGATGATTTAGCCAGGAGCATGGCTACCAGGTATTTGGAAGGGTCTACACTTGACTGTATGGTGTGCTTTGATCTTGTAAGGGGGAGGTCTTTTGCCTCTCTCCTTGGCATATTATAAAAAGCCCTGTTGAATAAACCTCGGGGCAACTGGGTATTGACCCAGGGCCCTCCCAAAACTATCCTATGTCTCTGTCTTTCTTATCACCTCTTACTATGTTTCTACCTAATAGTTCCTCATTCCTCTCTCCTCCCCACAAGAACCCTTCGATAGGTGGGAGCAGGTCAGAGCTGGACTCCAGCAGACTCCCACAAGAGAGTAGATTTGTTTATCTGATTTTCTGTGTGTGATGTTTTGCCTGCGTGTATGTCTGGGCACCACAAGTGTGCCTGGTGCCCATGTGCCTTTGGATGCCAGAAGAGGGCATCAGATCTCCTGGAACTGGAGTTACAGGTGGTTGGGAACTACCCTGTGGGTGCTAGGAACTGAACCCCAGTCCTCTGTTGGGCTACAGCCAAGCCCAACATGCTCATTTTTTAATTCAAAATTTAGACAAATAATGAAGCAGAGAGTAATAGCTTACCCTAGAATGATTTCTACCTAACTTAAAGGAATCACCTACCAAATGATGTTCCTCTAGATTTTTTCCCCATTCTTACTCTAACATGTAAAACTTACTTTTCCACTTAACCATATACTTCAGATATCAGTCCACTGAAATGACTAACAAAAAATGTTTCTATTTTTTAATATTTTATTTGGAGGGCTGGAGAGATGGCTCGGTGACTAAGAGCACTTACTGCTCTTCCAGAAGACCTGACTTTGGTTCCCAGCACCCATATTAGGTAGCTCACAACAACCTGTAACTCCATTTCTAGGGGATCCAATATCTCTGGCCCCTGTGGACACCTGCACTCACAGTCACATACCCCATACACACACACCCATAATTAAAAGTAACAAAAATAAATTATTTTATTATTATTACTATTTTGTGTAGATAGGTGTTTTACCTACATGTATGTCCATATACCATGTACATGCCTGGCGCTTGTGCATGCCAGAGGGGACATCAGATCCTCTTAACAGACAGTTGTGAGTCACCATGTAGGAACTGAAAATCAAACCCAGGTCCTCTGGAAGAGAATCCAGCACTTTGAACTACTGAGCTATCTCTCCAGCCCCATTTTTATTATTTTCAATTATGTATAATGTGTGTGAGAGTATATGATGTGTGCAGATGCCCAGAGAGGTCAGATGTATCTGATTCCCCTGGCGCTAGAGTTATAGACAGTTGTGAACCCCTGATATAGGTGCTGGGAACAGAACTTGGGTCCTCTGGCGGAGTGGAAAATCCTCTTAACCACTAAGCCATCTCTCTAGCCCCCAATGTCTGACAGTTTTAACAACCTATACCTTATAGCATATAGTTATATGGCCTGTAGTTTTCTTTTTTCTTTGTATTTATGTATGCATGTGTTTCTGTGTGTGCCAATATGTGTGCACATGTGCATACAGAGGCCACAAGTCAGTGCAGGATGTCTTCTTCAGTCACTTCTTCACCCTGCTGAGACATGGTCTCTCACTGAACATGGAGCTTGCCAATTGTATAGCAAGCACTTTACCAGTTGAACCATTTCTCCAGACCTGCCTTAAGTTTAAATAAATCCACTTTTCTTTTTGGTGTCTCATTTTTTTAATACAACAGACAATGCTATAGTAAATATCCATATGTATATATACACGCCCTTAAAGTATTTCTCCAAGAAAACATATAACAGGAGAAACTGATTATTTTTAAGGGTTAAATCTGGAGAGCTATTGCCACACTTAACTCTTAAAAGAAAGCCTGCAGGACCAGTGAGAGGGCCCATCAGGTAAAACGCTTGCTACTAAGCACCAAGTTCAATCCCCAGGTGCTGGAAGGAGGAACCAACTCTCCCAAGTTGTCCTCTGACCTTCACTTGTATGCCATGGTATGACACAAACAGTAAATGCAATTAAAAAGTAATTTAAAGTCTATAGTTCACACTCTCACCAACACCATGAAAGAACTTGTCAACAATGGCTGTTAACAACAATTTTGGCTCTTATCAATCTGATTACAAAAAAAAAAAAAAAATCAGAACTCAACACTCAGAGGCAGAAGCAGAGGGAGCTCTGTGATCCTCATAGTGAGTTCCAGGACAGCAAGGCTATGTAGTGAGACCCTGTTTCAAAACAACAGGGACAAAAAAATTAGTCTCAGCAATGTATTGTTGTTTGCTTTGTTTGATTTTGCTCTTGTTAAGTTGTGCACATTTTGATGTGTTTATTGTCTTGGTCCATTGAATAGTAGCAAGGCATTTTGCGGGTGATTGAGGTTTCTCTGGCTGTGATTTCCTGGAAGGATGTTGACTGTTTTCACAAACCAAAGTAACATGTTTCCTGTATGTGTCATCCACAGCAAACAACGGCATAACAAACTCTGGAGATCTCATTCAGATAGTGACCTCTCAGACCACCACGAACCCATCTGCAAACCTGGGCTCGAGCTTAACAAGAAGGAGATGACCACTTCAGCAGACCAGATTGCTGAGGTGAAGACTGTGGAGAACCTTGCAGCCATGCCGCCTGTCTTTGTGGAGCATGTGGCTCCACAAGATGCAAATCAGAAAGGGCTTTGTACCAAAGAAAGAGTCATCTGCTTGGAGTTTTCGTCACAGGAATATCATGCCGGACAGATTGAAGATGAATTAAACTTAAATGACATCAATGGATGCTCATCAGGGTGTTGTCTCAATGAATCAAAATTCCCTCTTGACAATTGCCATGCATCTAAAGCCTTACTGCAACCTGGACAGGCCTCCGAAGTGGCCAACGAGTTCCCAGACTTAGCAGTGGAAGATTTGGAGACGGATGCACTGAAGGCAGACATGAATGTCCACTTACTGCCAATGGAAGAGTTGACATCGCGACTGAAAGACCTCCCCATGTCACCTGATCCGGAGTCACCAAGCCCCCAACCCAGTTGCCAAGCTGCCATCTCCGATTTTAGTACAGATCGAATTGATTTTTTTAGTGCCCTTGAGAAATTTGTAGAGCTTTCTCAAGAAACCCGGTCTCGATCTTTTTCCCACTCAAGGACAGAAGAACTAGGTGGAGGACGGAGTGAGGGTTGTCGCCTGTCAATGTTAGAAGTAACGCCTTCCGAAATGGCAGCTGATGACCAGAGAAGCAGCTCTTTGAGTAATACTCCCCATGCATCTGAAGAATCTTCAGTGGATGAGGACCAGTCAAAGGTAAAACTGCTTTATGGTTTCTGTTTAATGAAATTCTCACCAAAGAAACTACTGAAAATTCTGCTGTGTTAACTTCTTTGGGGGGGGGGGGCTCACTCTTGCTAAACCAGCAGTGTTCCACTGAGCTTACTGCTGGCCCTAACTTTTTTTTATTATTATATGTATATGTGTTGGCATATTCATATGAGAGGAGGTGCCCAGGGAGGTCAGAGTGATCGGATTCCCCTAGAGCTTGAGTACAGGGGTTGTGAGCTACCCACCACAGGTGCTGGGGACTGAGCTGTCATCCCCATACATGCTCTTAACCACTGAGCCATTTCTTCAGAGTCATCCCTGGACTCTCTTGGATGTTAGTAAAGATTTCACTAGTAAACAGTGAAACAATCGAGCTGAAATCTTCCTTTAAAACGCAGGGTGCTTTTTTTAAGGATTTTATCTTTTCAGGCTTTGGTGTCATTTTAGATTTATTTTATGTGTATAAATATTTTGCCTGCATGTATATGTGTGTACCACATGTATGCCTGGTGCCCACAGAAGTCAGAAGAGGCCTTCAGCTCCCCCAGAACTAGAGTTGTGAGCCACTGTGTGGGTGCTGGGAATCAAACCCAGGTAGTCTCCAAAAGTAACCAGTGCCCTTAACTGCTGAGCCATCTCTCTGTGCCTGTTGGAGCATTTCTGAAAGGGGTAACAAAGGTGAGAATGAGTCAAAACAAATGTCCTGACTAAGCAAAGGGGGTCCTTTCTGTGGACCCCTGGGGCTCAGATCAAATCTCAGCAATGATGAAATGCCACAGTGCTGCCTGAGTGCATCTGTCTCTGAGAAGATGGATTTATTTGAGAAACATTTTATCTCAGAAAGTTTACAAGCTAAACATGTGCAGATAGCTGCTGGGGTAGCAGCAGATGCCCATGCCGAGTTCAGTGATGCTCTTAATAACATTTATGAATTTATCTCCAGTCCTGGGGTGCTCAAGAGTCAAGAGATGATTTGGGAGAGTGAATTTGGGAGCAGACAGTATCCTAAGATCCCTACGTGGCATATGATTTGTTTTGTTTTGTTTTTCAAGGCAGGGTTTCTCTGTGTAGCCTTGGCTTTCCTGGAACTCACTCTGTAGACCAGGCTGGCCTCAAACTTAGATATCTGCCTGCCTCTGCCTCTCAAGTGCTGGGATTAAAAGCATGTACCACCATGCCTGGCAATATATGATTTCTTATGAACCATATGAGAAGTAGGAGGAAATACCGTAGATGATCAAAAAAGTTGCTTTGTTTTGTTTTGTTTGTCTGTTTGTTTTGAGACAAAGTCTTAGATTTACTCTAACATACGAAACTTCTCTTAATAATCTTAATGGACCTGATTATATTTTTGTGATGTATTTATTTTACAGTACTGGGGATTGAACACAAGGCCCTGTGTATACCAGGAGAGAGTTTTACCAGCTGAGCTTGGTACTAACAGCCCTGGATAGATACCTGAGATCTCATGATTTCTACCTTATTTCATATGTTATTTCTTTTCCTCAACCACCCAAAACAACTCTTGCCTCCACTTCTGTCTTCTGCCTTTGTTGTGTTTCTATGGGAAGTCAGAAGTTTAGGCTGTCTTTATGGACCAGTCAGTGCAGTAGCAGACAGAAATAGCCTTCCCACTGAGCCCTTGGTCATATGAGTACTCCTTCCATGGCCGTGCACATACCAGGCTCACCAGTTCTGCCAAGATCACCTCTGCTTGATGTCCTGGCAGATTTCTCCCAAAGGCAAGACTGACCTTGTTAGTTTATACCAACTAAGACTCTTTGAAGGAGAAAGACCAGCACAATTCCTGAGGAAATATTGTTTTGAAGTCTTATATAAAATGTTAACAAACCATGCTAATAATGATAATGCTCTGACTTGAAGGAGGGCCATTTCTAGTTTTTGAAGTTAATACTTTTTTTGCAGTGGAACTTGTTTTTTTTTTTTTTTTCTGGGTTTGGGGGTGTCTGTTCTCAATCCATGGGAATTGTTACCAGTAAAGGGGTAAAATATCAGAGATCAGGGTCCTAAGGTTGCTGAGGGCCATGGCTGAGTCCAAGCCATGGCTGACAAGCCAATGATACCTTTCCCAGAAAGAGCCACGTGAAATTTAGGGATTGTTGCCAGGTACATGCTTTTAATCTCAGTACTAGAGAGGCAGAGTCAGGCAGATCTCTTTGAGTCCAAGACCTGGTCTATGTAGTGAGTTCTGTCTCAAAAAAGAAAGGGCTGGAGAAATGGCTTCTCAGTTTAGAGCACTTGTTCTTGCAGACCTGGGTTTGATTCCTAGCACCTATGTGGTTGCTCATAACTGTTCATAATTCTGTTTCCAGGGGACCTGATGTCCTCTTCTGACCTTTACAAGCACTAGATATGCATATATGGTACACATGCATGCAGGCAAAACATTCATACACTACACATAAGACTTAAAAATCTTAAAAGAGGCCGGTAGTGGTATACTAGTGCCTTTAATCCCAGCACTAGGGAAGTAAAGCAGGCAGACCTCTGAGTTTGAGGCCAGCCTGGTCTACAGAGTGAGTTCCAGGACAGCCAGGGCTACACAGAGAAAACGTGTCGCAGAAAGAAAAAAAAAGAAAAAAAAACTTAAAAGAAAAAGAAATTTAGTGATTGTGAGGTCAGATACAAAGCAAATTCTCCCAGCTAGAAGGAACGATGATGTGGTAAAAGCTAATGAGAGAAAGGAGCAGTAACTCTTCAAATCAGACATCAGATGACAGCCACAGCCATCTTGATGGCCCTATCTTATACTAGGCATATTGAAAGAACTGTGGTCACCACTGAATAAGTTCCTATCACATTAGAAGTTAATAAGCCAGCTAGGAAAGGTTCCATTCACCTCTTCATGGTCTAAGTCCTGGAGGCTCTCGGTACTATGAAAATATGGATTATAAATCCCCATAGCTATTTGCAAGTTTTCAAAGTCCTTGATTAAAATGTTGCTTGAGTAAACAGAACAAAATCTAGTAAGCAGTGATATACCTTATAATGAATTTTCTCCTGGCATTAATGATGACTCTTGTTTTGTTTCCATGGTCTGACAACACAGTGAGCCTATGCACCTGGTACCCATAATTTATGTTCTCATAGATAGACAGGCTCTCTTGGATTAGGGGTTACTAAGTGAAATACTAGCCACAATTTGCCTTAATCATCTCACTATTTTCTCTTCTTAGGCAGTCTCAGAACTTGTCAGCCCAGACATCATCATGCAATCTCACTCAGAAAATGCAATTTCAGTCAAAGAAATTGTCACTGAAATTGAGTCCATTAGTCAAGGAGTTGGGCAGGGTCAGTTAAAAGGAGACATACTCTCTAACCCATGCCATACACCAAAGAAGAACACCATCCAAGAGCTGCCTCTGGAGAGGGCACAGGCCCCTGAGAACAAAGCTGGACATTTGGAGCAAGACGAGAGTTTGTATGCAGACCAGCCTGAACTAGCCGAAGAATCAGGGAAGTGCAACTCAGAAGGCTGTCCAGCCACACACCCATCCACAGTAGACTTGGAAGAAGAGGAACCAGGTGAGGGAGAACAGGACTGGGGCCCAGGGATGCAGCCTGGTGCCAAGTGGTGCCCTGGGTCTGTGAAGCGAGCCACCCTGGAGTTTGAAGAGCGCTTGCGACAGGAGCAGGAGCACCATGGCACTGTCTCTGCAGGTACCACATTATCCAATCGCAAAAACTCTAAGAACGACTCTTCTGTAGCAGACCTAATGCCAAAATGGAGAAGTGATGAAACCACCCCAGAACATTCATTTCCCCTGAGAGAAGCAGAGATGAGCAAGGGGAAAGGGAAACTGAGTGGGTCGGAAGCTGGACCACTATCCCATGCTGAGCATAATGCCACTGCTCCGGCCTCTGAGCTGCTGGAAAGTCATCCCTTGCAAGCACCTCAGGACTGCCGAGGGTCAGACACTGGAACTAAGAAGCAGGAAGGAGACATGAAGAAGCAGAGGACTGTAATTCCAAACCAGGGATTCGAGACACAGGCCATCCTTCTTCCCCTTCCCAAGAGAATAGAAATCATCGAGTACACACAAACAGTTACATCACTTGATCCCACTGAGCCAGGTGAAACAGCACCCAGCAAAGAGGGTGAAAAACAGGGGCTGAGCAAGGTGACGATGGAGAGGTCTGTCGCTATGTTTTGTGCGCTGGATGAAAATCTCAACAGGACTCTGGACCTCAGCCAGGTTCCCCTGCATCCCCAAGTGCTACCTCTGCCTCACTCTTCCTCCGAGTATGACAGGCTCACTGACCCAACCCCCATCCTAAGTAGCCCTGAAGACAAGGGAAACAGCCCTTCAGTATCCTTGGAGAAAGCAGCACCTTTGGTCCGTTGCAGTACCCACATAGCATCCGCCAACTTGGATTACCTGCATCCCCAGTCTGTGGTTCACCTGGAAGGCTGCACAGAGCAGAGCAGCACCACAGACAGCGGGCCGTCCACAGAGCAGGTTAGCTGGGAAGACGGCCAGCAGGGCTTCCTTGCAGGTAGCAGTGGAATGGCACACAAGTTCTCCCGGTTAAGTAAGGAAGACCTAAGTTTAATTAACAAACTTGGGGACAATGTTGGGGTGTCACAGAAAAAACTGGACCCATCGTCGTCACCTGAAGCCTGTCGAATCCCACACAGCTCTAGTAGTGAAAATATAAGAAATCTCAGCCACAGCCCTGGTGTAGTGAAGGAGCGCACTAAAGAAATTGAGTCTCGAGTGATCTTCCAGGCAGGGGTCACCAAAACATCACAAATGAGGCGCTCGGCTTCTCTTGCCAAGTTGGGTTACCTGGACCTTTGTAAAGACTACTTAGCGGAGCGAGAGCTTGTCTCCTCGGAATCCCCTCATCTCAAATTGCTTCAGCCCTTCATCAGAACAGACTCAGGCATGCATGCCTTGATGGCCCAGGAGCTCTCAGAAAGCCCAGGTGCCCACCAGAACCCACAGCCCACCAAGTATTTTGTAGAGCAACTCAAAACAACAGAGTGTATTGTGCAGAGCAAACCAGTGGAGAGGCCCCTTGTGCAGTATGCCAAAGAATTTGGGTACAGCCAGCAGTGTTTGCTCCCTAGGGCAAGACCAGAATTGACTAGTTCTGAAGTAGGCCTTCCTTTGCTACAGACACAGGGCCTGCAGTGTACAGGCCCCGCTCCAGGGCTGGCCGTGGCACCCCGCCAGCAACATGGCAGAACTCATCCCCTTAGGAGACTGAAAAGAGCAAATGATAAAAAACGGACAACCAACCCCTTCTATAACACCATGTGATCCTGAGCCCGCACACACGGTTTTCTAAGAGAAATGTTTGTGAAGGGCGGTGTGATATGTGAGGAACGTGCACTTTATCATTAATTTTATAATATTTTGTCATTTTACTGTTCCTGGCTCATGCAGGGTTTGAGTTTTTCCGTGTGTGCTGTGTGCGTGTGCGTGTGCGTGCGCGCGTGCGCGTGCGTGTGTGTGTGTGTGTGTGTGTGTGTGTGTGTGTGTGTGTGTGTGTGTGTGTTGATTTGGATGGCAAGATCATTTTTTATTTTTAAAAAATTCAAACCTCAAAAAATTTTTTTTTCAAAGAGCACCTTTTTCAAAGGCAAATTGCTGTTTTTCAATCACTGCCACCTGTCACTTTCTCATTTGCCCTCTGAGAAAAAGACTGCTTGACTGAGGGAAGAACAGAGTGCAGGTGGCACTGAGGCTGGGGGATTGGAGAGGCCTCACCAGGCCCAAAGCGGCCTGCCCACTGAGGGCAGGGGGAGGTCGCTGCTCCGGCCTGCCTCTCCAGCCCTTCTCTGGAGTTCATGAAGTCGCGGGTTCTGCTCTGCCTTAAGAGGCAGTTGAGACTCCGTTTCTTCTGGTATCCCAGCACATATCAATCATTATGAAAAAGGGATTGGTAATTGGCCTGGCGATAGAATTCTATGAAGCAAATAATTTTCCCCAAGAAAACAATCTGAAAATCTGAGAGGACCGTAAGCCAAACCCAAGGTCATCAGTAGACACGCATTGAGGGAGGATTGAAGCAGAGGTGGAAACGCAGCCCCCGAGTGACCTGTGGGTGAGTGGGGTCCACACAGGTGGGCCTGGCCCCTCTGCTAGGTGACAGGCTCTGCCACAGGCTTGAAAAACAGCAGCATCAGTGTGTTCTTGTAAAATGAATTCATATGTGGGGTTTTAACCCTTCCGCTACTTGAATATTCTGTGGGCCTTCTGAGTTGAACGGCCGTAGTTTTCCAATTCATTTGCTTCTCTCTTGCTGTTTTCCCTCTCCTGCCCCTTCCTTAATTTCACAAATTCTATTTTAATTGTTACAGTGAATACATATAACCTATTGAACACAGTTTTCTATGTTAGCCCTGTTAACACTTGACCTAAGTTTTTTTTTTTCCTCATTTTCCTGGAAAGTTTGTCTTTTCTCTACAGTTCATACACAGTATTTATGTACATAATGTCACTTTTTAATGTTTTGTTGTTGATATTGTGGGGTCTTTTTTGATTTATTCTTTTTAAGGAGTAGAGTTGCAACTGGAAAACAGACACCAGAAATAAACTGATAGTTGTTGATAGGAATCTACACAGTATATTGATGGTGACTTTAATTGTTTTAAATGGAAACTTCTAATTGCCAGCTCCTGCCAAATTATGCACTTCCTCTTCAGAAGCCTTCGTAGGCTCCCGTTAGACCCCCTGAATGCTAACGTCTCAGAACATTGTTTGCCAGAATTGAAGCACAGCCAGGCAATGTGTGTGCATTGCTCAAAGGAGCCTCCTGTGGGGCTGAGGCTTGGGGCAGCTCAGCCAGGGCACAGATTCCATTTAGGGTCCCATTGCTGTGTTGTGTTGTGATGATCTTTAACACTGGAGGACCTGCTGTAAATAAGCCTCTGAGAGTCTTCGAGAAAACGTCTGACCTGAAACAAATCACCCAGTAACCCACCATAGCGCATCAAAACTGAAAAGGTCTACACATTTGTTTCCTGCTGGCTTTTGTTGATGTCCACGTTGCTGAGGATTGTGTAGGTAAGAGCCAGGGACTCAGGTTTTTAATTTATCACAGATTATCATCAGAGACAGAATTTGGAGGGAGCAGGTAGTAGGATACAGAACAGGGAAACCGTCCATTTTCAAGTTCTCCAGAGCTGTGGATCCAATTGACATACTAAAGCCATGGTTGGGTATGATGTCACTGCCAGGAGGCAGAGGCCAGCTGCTGAAAACGTATGGTGTAGGAGTTATATGTACCTGTGCTGTCTTTCGGTAGTTTCTTTGAATGTCACAGCTTTGTGAGTCCTGTGTTGTCTCATTAGGTGGTGTGTACCAGTGTGGGGGGGGTTGGGAGGCAAGATGATGAATTCCAGGGCTTTCTGCTAAAGAGCCCTGTCTACCAATATGATGGTAGGACAGGAAAATATGGTAGAGTAAGGAATATCTGCATGGAGGTTGAGAGAGTGGCATCACCAAAAAGTAGTAATAAAAGCTGGGTGTAGTGGCTCACATCTGTAATCTCAGCACTTGCTGAGGCAGGAGGATCACTATGAGTTGAAGGGCAGCTTAAGCTACAGAGTGAGACACTGTCAAAAAAGGGACATCAATATGCCACACATTATCAACAATGGGCACTATCCTCTCATTTGCCAATACAGAATGCATTTCTCATAGCAGAGACTGAGAGAAAACCCTCTAATGCTTTTTTTTTTTTTGTGGGGGAATGGGGGTACCTATTTCTGTTTTAAATAATGGGAGAAACCATCTTGTGCTGTCTTCCTTCTTAATTACATTTCTTATCATTTAACTCACTTGCCTAGGTATCTCACACAGGGTCTATAATTCAGCTATGCCAAAGGGTCTTGCCAGCCCTCCCAAACCCCCCACATTTGGGTGTTCTTAAGTCATGTTCATGGCTAAGGCAGGTACATAATAAGCTTCAACTTTTGATAATTTCAGATAGCCTCTTTGCCTTTTCTGTTCGTGGAAAGTCCAGACCTAACTGGTGAACAGCTAAGCAGGAAAAACCTTGACCTTGACCAGCACTTCACCTCCTGCTCAATGCCTTCCTATCTTTACTGTTTTGAAGAGCACTGTAGTTCTGTCAGTGGTCCTGGAAGAGTGTGTGAGTGAGCACACATGTGAGCACTTCCACAGGCTGGGCTGATAGTTCAGTGCCTGGGATAATGGCCCAGGAGCAGACAGGACTAGAGCTGTAGTCTGGGTGGACCAGGAAGTAGGAGAGGAGCCCAACCGACTATTGACTTTTAGAAACAGCAGCAACAGAGCAGGGAGCATTCGCACGCATTTTGGTTGCCTCTTGCTCTTTTTAACACATTTGCTCCTGCATCCCCACCTCTTCAGGATCTTCAATGTTTTCCTGCTCTGCACCTTTGTCTCCACACTGTTCCCTCCTTTCTCATTTTGGGAAGTACCCAGAGCTCCAGGGGCAGCCTGGGAATACATCCCAGGCTCTGAGGCCTCCTGCTCCCGAGCCCAGATGCCTCATCTGAGAAGCCTCTGGCTCCGCAGCTCACAAGAGTCTTCACCTGAGAGTTTCATTTAGTAAAAATGTTCTGTGGGAGTTGGGTTTTTTCTAAGAAAGCATTATGCAAAAAGTTTTAAGGGCATTTTAAAGAAAAGCCATTTTTGGGGCTTTTTCAAACTATTTGTGGATACTTTGTTTACTTTGTGAGTATTAAAATATGCATCATCTTGGTGGCTACTCAGGCACCGAAGCCATGTCTGTCCTGTGAGTCCTCCCCCAGAGAAATGCCATATTATTGTTAGCCCCTGTGGATAAATGGGTCAGGTGTGGCGGATCTCCATCTGTGTCCTGCACTCATCCAGCAGTCTTTTTTCTCAGTGCTGGTGTGTCTTCATAGTGATGATGGTGATGGTGAATGGCTAGTATGGTGGTTTCATTTTCAATTTTCGATGGTAGACAAGGTGACATTTTCATTGTCTCAGCACCAGTCCAACTTAAAGCATCATGGACATTGTTATCCCTTCCAGACTAAAAGATCAAGCATGTATTGGACATAAGTGTATGTGTTGCCTCGACTCATCTGGCACCCATATTAGGAAGAGGCGGGCCACCAAAGCAGGAAACTGCACACTCCTTTCCCCCAGGCTTTGGGACTTCTTGATGCCATGGAGAGCTATTGCAAGGTGCTTCTGTGTCACTCCAGCCTGAAGCGGAGGTGACTAGGCCTAGCTTCTGCTATGAAGAGAACCAGCCTCATCTCAATGTCCCAGAGATCTAGGATGGGGTTTCTAAACTGGAATCATCCCTTATCAGCTTGAAGAGCCCCCTCCCCCAAAAGGTATATGACTGGGGCTGCCATATGTCTTCACAGTGTCCTGCCTACAGAGAGCTGATACCCCAAATGGAAAACTGAGGAACTAACCTGATGTTTCCTAGTCAGTAAGCCCACTGGGAATTGTTTGGTTTTATGGATTTTTATTGTGATTTGTTTGGCATAGCTAAAGGTGCCTTCCCCTCCCCCTTTTTTTAAACTTTGTTTTGTAAGACTTGTTCAAAACACAGACAAGTCCAAAAGACTCGCACTGACTGTTACCTTTGCCCAGGCTACCCCAAACTTCTATGCTCTCGTTTTATTAAATAAAAGCAGGTGCTCCCTGGAATCTCTGGGACCTTTTTGAGGCATTTAAAGCAGAATATAAAGAGTGGTCTCATCTCCTTCCTTAATCTTCCTGGTGGTTGGGATGTCCCACTTGTATCATAGTTGTTTTTATTATTACTGATGTGCTCCGCTGTTTTTAAATGTGAACTTGTGCGCAGATGTGCAGACTCAATGTTCTTGTTACAGATTGAATAAATTTTTATTTTGAAGACAAAATGTGTGCTTCAAATGCAACAAAGGAAGAGGGTACTGGGAAGGTGGCAGGGGTTAGAAGAGAACACTGACAACAAACAGAATAGCGTTCACACATTCCAGTCAAGCACACACTCAAGAACTATAGAGTGGAGAATAAATGCACACATGTGCACGCGTGCGCGCACGCACACACACACACACACTTGTTTGTGTGCATGTATATAACCTGCGTTACACAAAAGACTGACTAGGAAGTGGGATTACCAAAAATTGCCACAATGAGGCTCCAATCAAGTGACCAGGCTGGGGACTTGTCAGGTCAAAGAGGTGCTCACCAAAGCTGCCACCTGAACGTTAGAATGAATAAGCAAAATTCTTCCACCATCTGTGGTGAAGAGTGACTGGTGTGGGACATCTGCGGTGACCTGCCCTAGCAGGGACTGGATTTGTTGGGTGAGTGACCTCACTGGACATTAATACAAGTTTTCAGCACAGTGAAATCTACACTGGGCTGCAGAGATGGGTGAAGGGCTAAGAATGCACATTGTTCTTGCAGAGGACCTGAGTTTAATTTTCAGCACCCACATAAAGTGGCTCATAACTCCCTCTAACTCTCCTCCACAGACACCCATGCTTATTGCCCCCCCCACATACACATAATTAAAAATGTTTTTTTAATATACATCAAGGATGCAAGAGAAAGACAGAGCCAATGGGTATATCTGGCTAGGTCCTGCCTTTTCACAAACCCATGATGAGATGTTTAATGGTATTATTCATCACGTCCAAAAGAACACCACTATCTAGGGAAAGCTCAGGTATTACTTGCCCAATTGCCAACCAAACTTGCTGACGTTTCCAAAGAAAATTGCAGCCCACTTCTCTCTGAATCAGACAAGTCAGGTGAGTGGCACACCATTGTTCTCTAGTGGGCGTGCATGGTAGTGAAGCTAGAGTCACTTCACAAAATATTTCGGGAGTGCTCAGGCTTCTGACCCATCTTTTTTTTTTTTTTTTTTTTTTTTTGTAGTCAAAGCAAATGGACCAAATCATGTCTCATTTGTCAGGCCTCTCAGAAAATGAGATCATGAAATGAAATCCCACGGATAGTTCCGTGGAGTCACCAAGCCCGAGTGCTTCTTCCTCTGCCTGCTGCTTTGTTTCTAGCTTTACATTGTTGGACGTTTTTGCTCTTTTTGAAGGCCCACCACCCAGCTCCCAAATAAATCACACAGAGGCTCATTCTTATAAATGCCTGGCCTTAGCGTGGGCTTTTACCTTTTTCTATTTCTGTGTGTCTTTCTTTCTTACTCCGTTACTGGCTGGGTGGCTGGGTGGCTGGGTGGCTGGGTGGCTGGGTGGCTGGCCCCTGAAGTCCTCCTCCTTCCTCTCTCATTCCTTGATCTTCTCCCAGATTTCTCCCTCTCTCTATCCTCTCTGCCCGCCAGCCTCACCTATCCTTGCCCCTGCCTTGCTATTGGCTGTTCAGCTCTTTATTAGACCATCAAGTGTTTTAGACAGGCATAGTAACAGCTTCACAGAGTTAAACAAATACAACATAAACAAAAGTAATGCACCTTAAAATAACATTCTCTAGCAGCTTTATATGTGTGGATGTTTTGCCCGCATGTATGTTGACACCATATGGGTGTCTGATACCTGTGGAAGCCAGAAGAGGGTGTTGGATCCCCAAGAGCTGGAGTTATACATGGTTGTGAGCTGTTGTGTGGGTTCTGGGAACCGAACGTGGATTACCAGAACGTTAATAAGTGTAGATTGCCCAGAAAAACGTGAGTTGTTATTATCATAAAGGAGCAACTAGTCACTTGAGTCTTGTCTGCCTAACCATGTACCTGGAATCTTAAGGTAAAAGACTCCTTCCATCCTCATGGTTACACACACACACACACACACACACACACACACACACACACAGAAGCCCTTAATTATTTCTGTAGCGCCAACAATTTCTGATTCTGTTCCTCTACAAGCCACTGAATACCTAGACCCCTCCTGAAAAACAGACACCTGTGGGCACCCTTATGCATCTATCTCTCTCTCTCCCCTCCTTCCTCCCCCCCACACACATACACACACACACACACACACACACACACACACACACACACACACACACACAGTGGTCTCTACCATACAGAAGACTGATTGTATGTGCGGCCTGAAACTGACCCCCATACTGCCCTCCAGGACGTAAGATGGGAGGGAAGAAATGAAATCATGAGCAGGCATTGAGTAAACAGCAACTCCAGGAACTGGCTGCTCTTCCCTAGTTGTATTTTATCTCCTTGACCTTGAACAGTAAGTACTTCAGACCTGTAGGTCTTGGGAGTGAGGGAATCCTGCCCTAGAATAGAGGGACCGTCTCAAACAAAGGCCCTCATCTTCAGAGTTGGTTCCTCCGACCTCTAAAATGTGGCCAAGTATCTATGCCAGCCTTTTCCACTTGAACCTGGTGCTGGGAGTGAGTTCACTTTTCTCTGCCTGGTGTCTGAGCCTCCTGCTTCATGGAACCTTCTAATAGGGCGAAACGCCTATACCAGTGCCAGTGTTTTAAATTCTCAAACGATTGCTACCGCTGTTAATAAAAGCCTTAGCCTCGAAGTTGCCCTGGGCCAGCCTT